TTAAAAAAAAATACACCTATTCCTCACAGAGAAGACCTTAGTCTTACAGTAAGATTTACATATACTCATTGAGATGAGGCAAATATTAACCATTTGCATAAAAACTATAATGCAAAGTATCTTATTACAAAAGTATCTCAGGTAAAGTAATAACCATTTGGATTAAAAGTAACATATAAATAGATTATGTTATCAGGAAAGGATCTAAATTTTCTGACGGAATGTTCTATTTTTTAACTATGCATGCTTATGTTAATGTATTAGAAATAGTCACTGGTATTAGTCCAGATCACTCAGACTAATGAATACAGTATGACTTACCTACTCCATACGCTACCTTAATTTTCATGCCCCAAACACACACCACCAGCACCACCTTAATCTAAAGCAATTGAGTCCTATATGTTAGTATTAATATTATTAATTTACTAATTTAAAAAAATATAGTGCTTAGATTATAGGACAGCTGTTATTTAAATGTTCACTACTTGCTGAAGTTTGCACTAAGCACTTTATATCCATTTTCCTAGTTATTCTGTACAAAATAAAAAGAAAGATAGGGATTGTTATACTGATTTTAGAAAGGAGTTATGAATAAGAGAGCTTAACTATTTTCATTGGTTTCAGCTATAATGGCAATTTCAAGTTACAACCCAGTTTTTTTTCTGCCCTTTACTATCCCATGCTGTACAGAAACATTGTTTTAATGGATGACCTCAAAATTTCTGCCTCTTATGATATTTTAGAGCTATGTATAATAATACAAGCCAAAATTTGCCTAACTTGTAACTGTAAAGCCAGAAGTTTCTAAGGTTAAATGTGACCCAGTTACTAGAATAATACCTAGGACCCCCCCATAGGAGGCCACATTAAAATACCCTCTGTAATGTTGCATTATGCTCATGAGATTATTAAACTGATTTTGCCAAATTAAGACTTCACTTTAATTTAATTGATTTACAGTCCACATTATTCCAAAAGTATGAAAAAATTACATTGCTTATTTGATTTCAAAAACTTTCATTCTTTGTCAATATAAGAATGCCACTTACATAACCCATAATGGTTGCTACTATTTCTTTAAAGATTCAAGCATTAATGTATGATACTTAAATAATTGCAAATGCAGAGTTCTTAAGCAGCGCTTCATTAATTCTGTGGACCTGTATACAGAATTTTGTGTGTATGAAATTTATGGAGTACTTACTATGTGGTAAACACTTTTAAAAAGTTTCTAACCTACTATAAATACTAAACTACTTAATCTTACAGTAACAGGGACAATTAAGTAGTTTTAGGAATATATTGAAATCTATTCTGTATCTTTGCCCGTGAGTAGATTGTGTTGAGTGTTAACTTGTACATTTGATAGGATTTTAATATTGACTTCATGTGCTTTGTTCAATATTTGGACTTCCAAAAAAGATTCCCAAATACTAAAAACTTATAAAATCTGGCTTCAACACAGTATCTGAAAGGTACTTTTATAGATGTTGGGGATGAGGGGAGGGGTAATTTTCCAGCTAGCAAGCAGCAATGATTACCATCCTCTGGTTTGATTCTATTATTGGCTGAATATAGATTGATGTACTTGTCTCCACTGTACCAATGTATAATGCATGAACACGATTACTGGGGTAATTTAGAAACAGGATGCCTTTAATCTTCTGCTCAGATCAATCAATTACAATACATAGGTTATAGAATGTCCTATGATCTTACACTTAATCCTTAATAGAACTAATCTTAGAGCTAAATGAGGTGGGGAAAAATGTGAAGCCCACAGAGATTGCTAATATGAACACAGACAATGGAATTTCAACTATCCTGTGTTTAATTACTCAGAACAAACAGAGGCCACTCTGAAGGTTGTAAAGAAAGAAATAATATATCAGGGAGCAAAAAAGCCAGTTTTTCTCTTGAAGCGCCACTTTTCCATCTTTAAGGAGGAATTCAAAGGTTTTGAGACTCAATAAACTGTGAAAGTATCAAACTCATACTAGAAACAGTTTGCACTGTTACCTTTTGCATGTCAATACATCTTGTCATATGGCAGATAAATCTGTTTCAGACTGCATTTGGAAATGCCTCTTTCCCTTTAAAGCAATATTCACTCACTGAATTTACTTGTGATTTGAAAAAAGAAATAATTTGCCATGTCACCTTGCCATAACCTACTATGTTATTTGAGTATGCCTTTATACTGTACCTGAGACCTTAATTACAATCTGCACAATATGAAGTTTGTTTAGTTTTCAATGGAGTTATTCCTTTTTTAAGTAGCTCCAACGCAGAGCTTAAACTGACAACCATGAGATCCTGAGCTGAGATCAAGAGTTGGACACTCAACTCACTGAGCCACCTAGGCACCCTGTTTCCTCTGGAGTTCTTGATGTATTTGAGAAGAATGCATTTGAGCTTGGATTTAGCTAACAAGCTAAGTAGAAAAAGAAAGTGTTTTATATATGAGGTGCAAATAGCACTGTGGGTATCTAGTGAAGACAAGTAGTGTATGTGAATATATCAGGGCCACTTGCCTGAATTTGCTGTGCTATTGTGTGTGGCTGGATGTAGGCAGCGAGCAATTCCTAACGGCTGAGTCAGAGTCAGAACCACGGATAGCTCCGCACGTTTAACACCTGGGAGAGGAACTCCAGCTTTTCCACAAGCCCAGCTGCAGCTAGGAAACAGAATGATAGTGATCAACTTACACTGCAAAAGGGAAGAAAATAAAGCTGTACATTGGAAGAGGGTGCCTTTTTATGTTCCGAGAGAGGGAACTGTACAGATTCAAGAAAGCCCAAGCTACCATAAGAGCCTACGGGTTGTCATAGATTGCTTCTTTTTTTAAGTAAAGCTAATTAACCTGAAAAGTCAACATTCCCAGGCAATGTCTCACATTTCTAACTCATTTTCATTACTCTGACATGAAAGAGTAAGAATTGCTTTGGTTGTTAGGGGTTATTTGCGGGTTTTTTTGTTTGTTTTGTTCTTTTTTTTTTTTTTAGTTTGTTTAGGGGGGATTCTTTTTCTTGGCTGTGCTTTCTGCAACATAAAGTTAAAGTCATGTTTATTTCCTCGTTATTTATTTCAATCCACATGATTCACCTTCCTAAACTAAACCTCTCTCTCAGCCCTTTTCAGTTCCATCTTCATTTTTTTTTTTTTTACTTCAGATTTGAGTTTGTAACTCAGAAAATATGAACCCGACTAATTCAGGGCATAGGCAAAATAGGCTAAGTAGTTGCAAGAACCCCCAACTCTTTCGTGCAGCTACATGTTTTAATAGAGGACTTAGGACTTTTAGCGGCAGCTGGAAACAAGAGGTTTGTCCGTGTTCTAGTAGTTCTGTAGGTTGGTAGCAGTAGGAAATTCCATTTAGAGAAAGGGATGTGGAGAGAGACTATTAAAGGTTAAAGGAGATAACATAAATGAAGGAAAACGAAGCAAGAAAAACTAGAAAAAAACAACTTAGAAACACCGTCTTTTGGCATGACTTCTCACATTTTATTTCCTAAGTCTCCAGGAGGACTATTTAGACAGAAGTGTATGTATACATGGGATTCCCGCCTTGGCAGGCTCTGAGAAACAAGAACGAAGAGGACTGTATACTGCTCCTTGAACGCTTTCCCATCCCAAACGAGATAATTTCTTAGAAATAGTGAAAGAGAGTAAGTAGAATGGTGTTCCTAGTGTGTTCAGGAGATAAGTGGCATTGGAGGTCACACCAAGGCTGGTAACTCTTAGCCCCACCCACCTTTTGTTCCTTCCCCCATGCGCCCAGCCTCGCCTATTTCAAACATTTTCCTTGTTTTGTACCAGTTGCTCCCACAGTCTCTGGCCTTCCCATCTTTCTCGCAACCTCCAGCACCTAGAGACCCAATCAACCCCCAACGTTGCCACTCCTCAGGGTTTCAAGCAATAAAACCGGGCATGCCCAGCGGCGGCGCCAGCAGCCTTTAGTCTTTGGGAGATTTGGCTCAGTTCCGGGCAGGGACTGGAGTGCCAATTCAGCTAGGGCTTCGGCGCCCACCTCCGCGGAGTCCGGGGGATCCGAGCTGCACCCTCAGGCTAAACCTGCACCCTTAAGTGGCTCATCCTCAATCTTCAAACTCCCGAACGCCACCAGAGCATATAAATAGTCCTCCCTGAAGGACTGTTTTCCCACCTGTCTTTTCTTTGCAGCTAAGGGTGTTTTAGCTACTGCGGCGTGAGGAGCTCAGGGATGGAGCCCTGTGGCTGGTGGCCGTGGAGATCACCTTCCCAGAGTAGCTGTTTGTCACTGAGTTTTGGAGATTTTCTTGGCTGGCTTCCGCTAAAGCACGCTTGAGTAATCCGAGCTGTGGCGGCGCCCAAGCTCTCGGGATAAAGGGTGTGTGTGTGTGTGTGTGTGTGTGTGTGTGTGTGCGCGCGCGCGCCTGTGTGTGTGTGTGTGTGTGTGTGTGTGTGTGTGTGTAAGGGAGAGGGCGGGGAAAGAAACGTCAACTCCCCCCAACCCCCCAGCCTCCTTTTCTTTCTCGCCTTCCTGCAAAAGCCGCACGAGTCTTCCATCCCCCCTCGGCCATCCTCACAGCTCTGGGCAACCGCCAGGTTAAGCCCATTTGCTCTGGGAAATTGGCGCTGTTTGGGAGAAGAGAAACAGATCGATTGCCCTTGTGACTCCCCGCCCCCCTCCCACCCCACCCTACCCCCATCGCTCCCTCCCTCCCTCCCCCGCCACCCCCCTCACCCCGCCTCCTTCCCTCTCCCCACCCCCAAACCCTCTCACCAGCGGCAGTCCGGTGCGGGGGCCCCCTCCGGAAGGTGAAGGGGATGGATTGGACTCCGCTGGGGAAAGCGGGTGTCTCGAAGTGGTGCTAATGGGAAGAGATTTCTGGTTTCAAAAGAGGATGCTCTGCCACAAAGAGCGGCTTGCGCGCTGGCCTGGGCTCTAGCCGAGGAGAGATCCCGGGAGAACTCCAGAGCTCGCGGGGAGCGCTCCTCGGAAGACCGGGGTCAACATGCCTGTTCGCAGGGGGCATGTGGCACCACAAAACACATTTTTGGGGACCATCATACGGAAATTTGAAGGGCAAAGTAAGTTCATTTGTTCTCTTCTCTCTCCCTCGCTTTCTGCTTTGACGGTGCACTTGGCGTTCGCCGCGTACAGGCTGAGGAGCCGGCAACTCCGGGCTCTTGCAAGTTAACAAGCTCTGAAACCAAGCCAGGAGGCTCGAAGGCAGCAGGAGTGTTCTCCCCCAGATATTAATTCTGATTTACATTTTAGATTATGGTCTCCATTATAGGAGGCAATCTGATCCTCCTCTCCCACTGCTCCATTATCTGCCTTGCTACTTAATGTCCTACTCTTCTACTATCTTAAAGGGAACGTACTAGTATAACATGGGTTTATATTTTGAGGCTGTTTAATTGTACACTTTTTGAAAGTCAGGAGTAGAGCCGAGCATACCACTGGAACAAGGGAATGTAAATGGTAGCAGCGATGTAAACGGCTATGCAAACTATATTTTTACCTTGGTTAAATTGCAAAGCTGTGGTATGACAGGGTTGCTTGCTTGCTGTTAATTCATAGAAGCTAAACTTTGCATTGAATCAATGCAAATATATCCCAAGAAGGATAATTTGGAAAAACAATATCTGATCCGTGCTAGTTCCCAGTGCAATGGTTCATTATTCAAAGCAATATTTCTGCCTCTTTATCATTTCCTTAAATTTCCATCAAGAAATTTGAAAATTGAAATGTAGTAAGTAAATCCCACAACTGAATGCAGAGAAATTTAACATTCTCATGTGGACTAACTGTAAGGAATGAATTATTGTTATATAAATATATTAATTTTAAATCCTTACGTTATATTCAACATTTCCTTAAAACTACATTAACACAAAGTTATGTTGTACATTTTGCAGTTATTTTGGCTATATTCACTGCATTTAGTGACATGAGGATATAGTACCTTGTGTACAAAATAAACTACTATATCCTGCTCACATTCTATATGGAAATAGTAAATATAATTTATGATTAAAACTTAATAAGCCCTTTGTATTAAAATACTTACTACTACACAAGAATTCAAGGTTCTCCCAAAGTAAAAGTGAAAAGGTGTTAACCTGATATTTATTGTGTATGTGTAAATATTTTTATCTTCTGGAAAATATGTCTTATGAAAGGTGAATCTTCGAATTATTGAACTGTTAATTAACGTGAGATAGTTTTATTGCTAATAGTTTCATGTTTTGTTTTGTTTTTTAACATGATGAGTGTGTAGTATGCCTTAGAGGGATAGAGAAAAGCCAAATCCAAAAATAATAGCCACTTTGAGAAAGTTGTACTTTTAAGGGCCAAGGTTGAGGTGAGAAATCTGTCAGCTACAGGATGTTTCACTGTTTGGCTTTGAAAATATTTATCTTACAATTAAATGGCATTCTGGAAATATCAATGGGACAGCTGCTTGTTTGAGTGTGCCTTAGGACCCTTGGGAGTCACAAGGCTTGAGAACTAGACTATTTGGGAAATTACATTCTCAAAATTTGAAGAGTAGTTCCTTAATACTTTTCTGTTAAAACTGCCTAGGACCATTAATTTCATATTTAAGGTTTTTGGGTTTTTTCCTTTTAAAGCCCTGGGCAGGGGTGCCTGGGTGGCTCAGTCGCTAAGTGTCTGCCTTCGGCTCAGGTCATGCATGATCCCAGGGTTCTGGGATCGAGTCCCGCATTGCATCAGGCTCCCTGCTCAGCAGGGAGCCTGCTTCTCCCTCTCCCACTCCCCCTGCTTGTGTTCCCTTTCTTGCTGTCTTTCTCTCTCTGTCAAACAAATAAATAAAATCTTTAAAAAATAATAATAATAAAAATAAAACCCTGGGCAGTTAGCAATTTGGGAAGCACCTGCATTTCAGATATCCTATTATGCAACAATTTGCTCCAGTGTTTATGAAAATCTTGTGGAAGCTCTCTAAAAGATGCCTTACTATCTTTTTATTACAGATAAAAAATTTATCATTGCAAATGCCAGAGTGCAAAACTGTGCCATCATCTACTGCAATGATGGGTTCTGTGAGATGACTGGTTTCTCCAGGCCAGATGTCATGCAAAAGCCGTGCACCTGTGACTTTCTCCATGGGCCTGAGACCAAGAGGCATGATATTGCCCAAATTGCCCAGGCATTGCTGGGGTCAGAGGAGAGGAAAGTGGAGGTCACCTACTATCACAAAAATGGTAAAGTTCATCTATTTAGAATTCCTTTTATTTGATTCCATTGAGTTGAAATTTTGACAACCGATTACTAAAAGTTCATATGCAGAGAAGCTCTGACTATTCAGTTGTAGATATTTTTACTTATATATTTTATATATTTTAGGATTCCAGAAATATGGATAGTATCATTAGTGGACTAGTAGGAACAATTTCTTCTTTGAATAAGGGTACTCTGTACTCTTCAAAAGTGTCGTAACTTACTATCACTGAGGACAAAGTGCCACAAATCAGTCTACTCTCCTCCCTTTCTAGGGAATAATATAAAGGCCAGTGATTTACTGATTGCATTGATATGGATTTGGTAGGAGAGAAATATAGAGTTTTATTTGCTTGAACTTGAAAATATTTCACAGAGAAACTCTTGTTGAAAACTGTGTATTTGCAACTGAAACTCCTGCGGTTATAAATGTTTCTTGGCTTTGCAGCTTTATTTGATAAAAGCTTTAAAAGCTTTATTTGCTACACCTCTTGTTTCTTTTGCTCCTTTTTATACAATATTAAGGGTGATATAGAAGAACTTCAAAAATTGGTCTGGTAAGCTTACGTATATTCAGATAATAAAAGCTGTTCATGTATTCAAGAATTGTCCTAAAATAAGAAACGGACAAAAGGAACTATGATTCTGGGGAGTTGTTTGTACTCATTTTTCAGCTGCAACACAACCGGCGTCTCAAACCTGAGGTCATGCTTCGACTTCAAGGGCACTCCTCCTCCTTTCAGGCTTACTATGGGAACATAATATGTTAGACTTCTGATAGTTCTCAAAAAATACTCATTTAATAGACATACACTCATTAAATATACCATTGTTGTATATTAACTCACATGTATGAATATTCACATGTACCCATTTAAAAGAATACATATTCTCAAATGTGCACACTTACTGATATTTGACAATTTAGTGCTTAAAGATACATCAGTTAAAAACGCATGTTGCAGTTAGTTTTATCGATGTTGCCTGGTCATTTTTTTTGCCATTGGCCAATCAGTGAGGCAGAGGGATATCTAGTCAGCTTTTCAGGAAACCTTAAGTCTTGCAAATGAGAAAATGAGTGATGTGTTATAGCTTATATCATATACTGATTCATCATTTGATAAAATACACAACAGAAATTCTAGCACGGAAAAGGCTTAACTCTTCCTCTTATTTTCTTACAATTAAATATTTTATGATAGAAAATGTAATTCTTAATTACTAAATTTTCCTTAACATCGACTTGAATGAGTATATGTGGCAAACTGTGATTAGAAAAACAGGTTTGTATAACTTTGGAGTAATCTGGAATAAAAACAATTATATCATTATCAGCCAACATAGAGATTGTTTTTAAAGTTTTTCTTATCCTGCCCCCCCCACCCCACACACACCACTTTTCAATCAGTAGTGTTGGCTTGCTAGAAATAGCCTAATTGCTCTGTTGTCTTGAAAGCATTTCTTGGACTAAGGCTCTCACTACCCAAATGCAACTCATCTTTTTTGTGTGTGTATCTGATGCCAACAATTCGGGCTTTGGAATAATTTGAATGTCTGACATTTTTTCCCCATCTGAATACTTATCACGATGTTGACACAGTTTACATTGTAGTTATACAGGGCATAATGGTCCACATTTGGTCATTATGTTTCTTGGGACATTTAAAGATTTTTTTTTAACTTACAGAATTTAAGTTTAAAATGAATCTGGACTGTTAGGATCCCTTAGATACTCACCATATTTTTCAGACAATATTCTGAAATGAAAGTTGTTATTTATTATACTGCAAGTGGAGTGATGTTATTTCAAAACCTTGTGTGACTTGTGCAATGTGAGTGTGTAAAGTGATCTCAAAACACCTAAGAAAGGCAGGTAAATGTGGAATCACAAACGTGAATGTAAAAGTTTCTACAGTGAAGATGCTGGTACATTGATTAATGCAAATCTTTCTACCTGAGGGATGCACTTTGTTATATGAATTAAAACCTTCTTGTTTTAGACGAGGATTTACTTGAAAACTTGTTTAGGTATATAAATATCAGCTTTTGGTGATGGTTTTGATTCTGTTGGCTTTATTTTCAGATTTGACTCAGTCCACAAGGACTTGGTAATCTTTAGAGCTAACGACAAATGCTGCCTATTTCACTTTTATTAATATGGGATACATGAGATGATGGGGTGATGGGCCAAGCTTTTTTTTTTTTTTCCAAAGAGAAAGATTTATTTTATGACCTTTTTAGATTGCAAAGACACAGTCAGACTTATTTGCTTTGAATGTAATCAACCTGTGTTTTTGAGACTAGTTCAGATGCCTTGAATAGAATCTTCAAAGTGCATTGGTTTTATTCACATGGCAACTGCAAATTCAGTCAGAGCTTGTGAAGTTCAAATGCTTTGATAGTCTTGCCTCTTAGAGACCTGCCAACCACTCTCTATTTATAAAAGCAGGAAGGGATAAAATCGCCAACATTTTGTATTGGTTTGTTTCTCAGTTTCCTTAATTCTTTATTATTGGGGTCATTTACTTTTGGGAGTTTCTTGGTTTCTTAAGTATGTACAGTAAATGCTTCCTTTATTTATTCTCTATTTAGCACTTTATAGGAGTACAGATAAGAATGTAATAAGCACAATGAGCAACTTAACAAGAAGTTGAGATATTGTTTCCACTTTTTCCATTCACTCATACTGGTGTAGCAAATACATGAGCATGGTATTATGGCCAGAGGCTTTATGTTTAAACCCATGATTTATGTAATGAGTTCACATAGATGAGCTACATGATCACTCTTAGGAGGCAACACTTCCTACCATCCTACTTTATGTGATTTTACCAGGTACAGTTGAACTTGCTGTTTACCAGAATATCAATTTTTAAAAACCTAGTTATTTGCAGTAGGAATATTTGACAGCCCTTCCTTTGAGGATTCTATTTTACAGTTTAAGTCATTATTTCATAAATCATTCTTGGCAGCTGTGAAATACTGCTTGAGGTGATAAAGCTGTAAATCTTTTGACATAAAGCTCTAATTATACAAAACTATAATTACACTGAGCTTTATACAAGGATGGGTATGTATTTTAATAATATAATACATTCACTTTAAGCACAACCTTTTAGGGGTGCCTGGCTGGCTCAGTCAGTAGAGCATGTGGCTCTTGGTCTTGGGGTTGTGAGTTCAAGCCCCATATTGGGCATAGAGCTTACTGAGAAAATAACCTTTTTTTTTTTTTTTTAGCTTTCGATTGGATTGAGGAATAACAAACACTTCAGTTATTAAACTAGATCGTAGTTTGAAGGTGATGCTAATACTAAGGAAACAGAGAAGTTGGTCACCTTTCAGTTTATTGCTTGTCAGGTTTGGAGTGTGTCACTGGAATAGAGCTAGCTGGTGAAGTGCTTATCCACTTCAGGCATATGTAGACAATGTGATTTTTATCTTAAATTACCAAGCAACTCTAAACATTTGGAAAATCAAAGTAAGTTTCCCCAAAAGAAATAAAGGTCTTAACTCAGTAGGAAAACAGGACATATACAATGCTTTATTTTTAGAGGTAGGAGCATTCCTATATTTTTGCCATTATGCTCTCAGCCATGGTACAGTGGCAATTTCGTTAACAAATCAGGAATGTCCCTATCTTTGCCTTGCTTTCAAAGAACTAAAGGATGAGAGGAGGCCGAGGGAAGTCCTTTCTTGATCCAGACAGGGCCCAGATCCAGACAGGGTACCAGTCATGCTGGGACAAAGTTCCAGAGGCAGTGTTTGAGTCAGCTAAACTCAAAAGAGGTTTTGGTTTGAAAACATTAAATCTACCATCTCTGAGAGTTTTTTGGAAAGAACTGATAGAAAGTGTTGCATTGTTGGAAGTAGAGGTGAAGGTGTATACCGAGTGCCACCACCTCTCTTTAAGGTAATGTTTTAGGCACTAGAGGAACATCCTATTGGAGGAGATGCAGAAGAGGACACAAACTCATTTCTGCTTTCAGAATATTTGTATTATGGAGTGACTGAGGTTTACTTCTATCTTCTAAACCCCAAGATGTTTTCATGAAATTGTTTTTAAAGGAAAAAAATAGACTATGAAATGAAGAAGCTTTTATATAAACAGAGAACAGAATTTAGGATTAATGACCACTCTATCTTCCCACTGTAAAATAAACTTATGTTTGTGTATTTCCTGTCTCCTTTTATCATTTATATGTAATAACTAACTTATTAAAGAAGCAATGTAGTTTACTTAAAACTTTATAGTTCAAAAATAAATCTTATAATAATTCTATATAAGTTATATGACGTGTAAAATATTTGACCTTCATAATTTCTGAAATGTGTAGTAGAGATACAGACGCTGGTTTTTAGAGAAGAATGGAAATATATTATATGTATGTGTAATTCAAGCAATAAGAAAAATTTTCAGGGAGTATCTTGCCTAGAATTTATTTTGGTGTTCATTTTAACTTTTTGTTTATACATTGTCATGTTTCATCCACCAGAGTACAGTAACAGTAATCTTAAAATATTGTCTTTCATATACCTAAACTTTGTAACATCTCAGGGACTCTGGATATTATATACTCTTAAATTTGATCACTGTGTTTATTGAGAAACTAAGAATTCTCTAGAAACATTTTCTTCACAATTTGAAAACTTTATTTTACTATTATCCCAAATGAAAACAAAATGTCCCAAAACTGTAGTTGGGCTATGCTCATCCGTCCCCTGTTTACCACCCACCAGCACCATACCTCTTGCAGCTCTGGTGCTAAAAAGAAGCCATGTTGTCTGCAGGCTTCAGAGATAACTGCTCGGTTATTTTCACACCCAAGGGACTTGAGAGCAGGGTCAGTTTAGGGCGATAGGGATAGGCTAGGCTTCGTGGGAGGAACTGACTTCTCTGGCTTCTAATGGCTTTCAACATTGTTTTTATTTTTATTTTTTCACTACAAATAGTCACTAAATCAATTACTGGCAGTCAGCAGCTAGA